CCGACATGGAACTATCAGACAAAGAGGATGACGATGAGATGGTGGAAGAAACCCCAAGGGAGGTGCTAGCTATTAAGAACCGCTAGGGTGCACCTAACAGATGTTGTGGCTTGTTGCTCCTTTTTTACTATACATGGGAGACTTAAATTGTAAAGTGTTGTCCTGGAATGTTCGTGGGGCTGCGGGGAAGCGAAATTTATCTCATCTTCGTGATACCATGCGCAAGCATCATCCAGACCTCGTGTTCATTTTTGAGGTCCACACTCAATTTGTATTAGTGCAACATTTTTGGAAGGATTGGGCTTTCGACAAGTTGAAATTCAAGAGGCGTGGGGCCATGCTGGGGGAATCTGGGCTGTGTACCATACATCCTCTACATTTCGGTTCAAACTTCTTGATTCTCAACCACAGGTTGTCTCGTTGGAAGTCTCCAAAGGCTCTCTAGTTGGATTTGTTCGGGGATCTATGCCAGCCCAGTTCTCAATGAACGTGTGAAGTGTTGGGAGGGCCTGAGAGTTCTTCGTCTTCGCATTACGCAACCATGGGCCATCATCGGAGATTTTAACGAGACTTTATTGTCTTCCGATGAACGAGGTGGTATGTTTCATCCTAATCGTGCTGCTTTGTTTGGGCACATGATGGAGGAGTGTCATCTCTTAACCTTGGATCAAGTAGGCGGCCACTTTATGTGGCACCGCATGACTGGTCAACACTGTCCCATGCACAAACAGCTTGATAGGGTGGTGGGCGACGTGGCATGGCGCATTCAATTTCCAGAGGCTGTGGTCGAGGTTCTTCCCCGTCGCCATTCTGATCACAATCCTTTACTACTTAGATGTGGGGGCTTCCATCGTAGTAGGGGAGTTTGTCCTTTTCGTTTTGAGGCAGCTTGGTGCACACATGATGATTATGCAGAGGTTGTGCGCTCGGCCTGGAACAGAGGGAATGGAGATGTGGCTAAAGTGCTTAACCATGTACAAGACGAGTCATTAGTATTTAACAAAGAAGTTTTTGGGAACATTACAACTCGAAAACTGGTGCTTGATCGTAGGCTTCGTGGTATCAAACGTTCGTTGGAAAGGGTAGACTCTTTACAACTACAACACCTATATCACAAGCTCCTACAGGAATGTGAGCTTATGCTTTTTCAAGAGGAAACCTTATGGTTCCAAAAATCTCGTGAGAGTTGGGTCAAGCTGGGCAATAAAAACACACGTTTCTTTCATACTCAAACGGTGGTTAAGAGGAACAAGAGCCATATTCATGGTTTGTATCTTACTTTGGGCAACTGGTGTACAGATGAGGACCAGCTTCAAACTGCAACGGTGGAGTTTTTTAGAGATTTGATTGGGCAATCTAGTAGGGTCACTACTTCCCCTATCACCCCTCGCTTGTCGCCCATCCCGACGGAAGCAACAACAATGTTAGGATCAGCTCCGTCGAAAGAGGAGGTGTTCGTGGCGTTGAAGAGTATGCCATCTTACAAGGCTCCGGGGCCCGATGGATTCCAAGCTATTTTTTACAAAATGTATTGGCATATCATTGGCGATGACGTTTGGAAAGTAGTTCGCGATGCTTTCATTACTAGGACCTTTGATCCTAATCTTGCCAAGATACTAACACTTATTCCCAAGGTTGCTGACCCTAAATGGTTGAAGGATTTTTGACCAATTAGCCTATGTAATGTCTTGCATAAGCTCATCTCGAGGGTCCTAGTAATTCGATTACGCCCATGGTTATGAGACTTGGTGAGACCTCTCCAAAGTAGCTTTATCCCGAGTAGAAGTACGACTGACAATGCAATCGTGTTACAGGAAATTATTCATTCAATGAAGAAATCCCATAAGAAAAAGGGGGATGTGGTCCTTAAACTTGACATAGAAAAAGCTTATGATAAGGTTGAATGGAGCTTTGTCCAACAGGTTCTTGAGGAGTATGGCTTCCCAACTATAATTGTTCGATTAATACTTTATAATCTTTCATCCCCTTTTATCTCCATTTTATGGAATGGGAAGCAAACCCTGACGTTTTACTCAAAACGTGGACTACACCAAGGTGATCCTCTTTCTCCTTATTTGTTTGTTCTTTGCATGGAGAAGTTAGGAACCATGATTGGTAATGTGGTGCGCTTAGGAAAATGGGAGCCATTCAGTGTGACAAATGGGGGGCCAACTATCTCACATTTGTTTTTTTTGCAGATGATGTCCTTTTATTCTTGAAAGCTAAGCCCTCACAATTTCGGTTTGCGAAGTCCCTCCTTGCTAAGTTCTCTATAGCCTCTAGTTTGCATTTTAACCCCGCTAAATCTAAAGCTTATGCTTCACGTGGGGTTTCTTCGAGACGAAAACAAAAATTGTTGAATATTTCTGGTGTACGATTTACTGATGATCTAGGACCTTACTTAGATTTTCGTATGGTGATGGGATGGGTTAAGGCGAGTCATTTTTCTCCTATATTATTGATAAAGTGTAGCGGCAATTGGCTTCATAGAAAGGTAGGGTTTTAAATCGAGATGGAAGAGTGACGCTTGCAAATTCAGTGTTAGCAGCAATCCCTACTTATACCATGCAGGTGCAATGGATACCATAACAGACTTGTGATACTCTGGATCAGATGATGAGGCGTTTTATTTGGAGTGGTACCATGCAAAAAGGGCTTCATTTGGTCAATTGGGACATAATCACAAGGACTCGTAAGTTCGGAGGTTTGGGAGTGTGTATCGCCCGTTTTCAAAATACAGCATTACTTGGAAAGTTAATATGGGATTTTTATAATAACAATGAGAAGTTATGGGTCAAGTTGGTTCATAATAAGTACCCTGGGAGGTCCTTATGTGACAAGTTGCAGGTGAAGGGGTCATACTTTTGGACTTCTCTCTGCAAGACATATGAATCATTAAAAGAAGGTTTCCATATACAACTTGGAAGAGGTGAAGTTCTCTTTTGGTATGATCGTTGGTTGGTTGACTCGCTTTTATGCTTAGAGGTGCCATATGTTCATTATCAGGATGTTGAACTTCATGTGTGCGATGTTGTGCGAGGAAATCAGTGGCAATTGCAACAACTATACACTCCCATATCGGAGGGATTGCGTAATAAAGTTCAAGAATACCATGTAACTCTTCACCCTTCATTGCCGGACGTGATGGTATGGGGGGCGAGCATTTATGGTCAATACTCTGCTCGAGCAGGATACCTTTGACTCTTGGAACGTGCGAGAAGGTGTTGTGGAACTTCATGGATGAGGTTATGGCGGCTAAGGGTACCTGAGAACTTGAAATTTTTTCTTTGGCAACTGGCGCAAAATAGCCTTCCATCGCAACAGTGGCTCATGTCTAGACATATGGGCCTAGATTCTTAGTGCTCGGGTTGTGGTAGGAGTCGTGAAGATACTTTTCACATATTTTTGGAGTGTGATAAGGTAGTGGTAGTATGGAATAGGTTGGGTCTTAGTCATAATTCTCTTTCTTGAACATCTTTGGTATGGCAGGATTGGTTGTACAAGTGTTTCTCCTCTTGGGGCCCATTAGGTTTGGTGGTGCTATGGGAGATTTGGTTGGTTTGAAATTCTACTGTGTTTCAGAATCGAAGGATCCCCACTCATATTGTGGTGTCACAAATTTGGGCATTATATGGCGTGATTAAACGTGTCTTTCACGTTGAATACCCTCCACGGGAGGCTCGATTAGTCTCTTGTCTTTCAGCGAGTTTGGACCAGATTGCAGTGCATGTAGATGGTAGTGCTCAGGGTTTCCCAGGGCCTGCTGGGTATGGTGGCCTTTGTAGAGATAGTAGTGGACGCTGGCTCATGAGTTTCTATGGATATGTTGGGGTTGCTAATAATTTAAGAGCAGAACTAACGACCATCTTAAAGGGCTTGGAGTTGGCGTGGCAACAAAATTTTAGCAATATCATGTGTGTCTCTGACTCTCTTAATGTTGTGCATTTGATCTTGGGACCATTAGATCCCTTTCACAGGTATGCGGTGACTATTGCAAAGATTCGTGAATTTTTCCACCGTGACTGGAGATTATCGCTTCGCCATTCACTGCGAGAAGGGAACCAATGTGCTGACTTTCTCTCCAAACTAGGTCCCAATTGTGGGTTGGAGTTGGTGGTTCTAGTTGACATGCCTGCTGGGTTAAAGACTTTTATCCAAGCAGATATAGAAGGGACTTTGTTCCTCAAAGACTAATTATTTATTTCTTTTGTTTCTTTTACTTTATATTACCAAAAAAAAAACTTAATGTAATTATGTTGAAAATTAAAAAAATACAATTACAATACGGTATATTTTACAATATATTAAGATAAATAATAAATAATAAATATTATATTACATTAGACAAAATATTATTTATTAAAACTAAAAAATTATATTATTAAAATATAAGTGAAATATTAAATACATGATATTGAATAAGATTAGAACGGTTGTAGCTCTTGTAACCTAAAAAGAGTAAAATGATTTGAAACATAACTTAAATCCATATTTAAAATATATTGAGTTTAATTTGTTAAACTCGTCAAAATTTCTTTTGGTCTTAGTTAAGTTATGAATAGTCAAACCAATTACCGGATTAGTGTAAAGATTCTCTCTAAAGATAAAAATACGTGTATTTTTGGATGTCTTAGAGTATCTACAATGAGAGTTGTTTATAAGTAATTCTCATCCACTTTAAATAGGTCCCACTGTACCACATTCAATACGAGTTGCTTATAAACACTTTCATTTTTTGTTCCCATCAACAATATTGATCTAATAGGCTATTTTCACAAAGCAGTTTCACAAAGTAAGAAATGTTGCTTCAACAAGCAAGGAAGACTTTTTTTTTCAACTTTTATGCCACATCAGTCAACTCTAATGGGAGTTTCTAGTAATTAAGCTACGTTGTTTACTTACAAGTAACAATCCAAGCAATTCTTGTTGGAGTTGCTCTTACAAGTGATCAAGGAAACAATGTGAACTCTAAATTTTAATTCCCAATCTTTCATGATCAGCTCTCTCGTCGCTTGCTAAGCTTCTCTTTTCTCAAAACTCGCCATTATTCAATTTGAATAACATAAAATCAACTGTGTTTATTGTTTCTTTAAAATAGCAGTCAAAGTAGATATCAAGTTATTTTAAAATTTAGTATGAAGAATTTACTATTCAATTTTAATCTTAATTTTGGGAATTCATAAACTTTCTATAAAGGGATATTTAGTTGATTATAAATGTTCTCACAAATATTTTACTTGATAATCGATTTTTTTAAGCATTAAATTAACGAATAAAATAATGTGATATTTTTTTTTTGTTAAACATTACTGAATTTCTTTCTTAAAAGATAACGAAATAGTTGTTATTAGATAAAGCTAATAAAATGAACGAACACATTAAATTACCGAATTATATAATGTGATATATGGACTCACTCATTATGAAGACAATCCATTATATAAGACATCTCGTATTCAATTTCTGTTATGTATAAAATTCCTTTGAATTGGCACGAAATGTTTGTAATCAAGTGCACCAAGAATACTTGTGGCAGAACAAAAGCATAATATGATTTTGTTGTCAAGATTTTTTAGTGTTAACTAATTTTTAATAATTATGTCATTAAAAGTTATTAATTTTATAATAAATATTTTAAAAATCGTATATATAATACTAGTATTAGTTAATCAGTTGATAATATGAATTTTTATAGTTAATGCACAACATATTAATTTTTATTTTTAAAATTAAGGAATAAAAATTTAAAAAAAGAAAAGGTAGGAATGCAATTAAATAATTTTGAAGGTGAGGGAAGCTAGTTTGTTTCGAAAGAAGGCGAGACAAGACAATGATACTGGCAGTTGTGTTTGCCAACGTTGAGGGCAATATCCTCATCGAACGGTGCGTTTTGATCCCTTTTTCATTTTCTCTTCTTTTTCATTTGTATTATACCTACCACTTTTCTTCGAATCTTGATTTGTTTGTTCCAGAAATTCTGATACATTGCTTTTTGATGGAATTAGCATGTTATTTCCCATTAGAATTTGAAATTCCAACATTTAATTTGTGTACATGTTAAACCACTTCAACTAATTCTTAGATCAGATGTTAATACATTTCCATAATCTCGGTTGATGCTATCTTGCTAACATGAGAAGGGTTTGGTTAGTTTCATTCCCAAAATTAATAACTTGGCAAGTTAGAAAACCACACAACACACGCCTCACGTTCTAGTTTTCATGATTTAATTAAATCTCATTCAAAACTTTTTGTTTAATTCAAGTGACATTAGATCCAACCTAAGTTGTTTTATCCATGATCCACATACGATACGTACCAATTATTTTAAAATATATAGATATGATACAAGTCTTAATGTATGGATATTCATAAAATATAATTCATGTGTAATTGTAATTTGATAAAAATTCATAAACATAATATACAATTGTAAATCTGAATAAAAAAAACATGCTTCTTGTACATTACTATTTTTTTTTTAAATCATTCCATTGGTAGTTACTTTCTATTATTTATAAAAATAAGAACAATGCTATCAATCTGATTTTTTTCTTAAAATATAGAAGACAATTTTTTGCTTTTAGTTTATAAATGTATAATGTTTCTACATTTTTATATTAAACATGTTTATATGTTTTATTTAACTATAATAACTTTTTAATTTTTTTAAAAAATTTGAATACTTCAACATAAGTATTATTGATAAGTATCAATAAAACATTCAAAACTATCATAATCATATAAGATTTTATAATATTTTGAAAGATTTTGATAATTAAAACACACAAGTTACTCTTTAGATTGAGGGGGAAATAGGCACTTTTTGTTGTGTGCTCTTTCTGTGGTCAACTTGCATTGAAAAATAGATAGACACTTGCTCTTAGTTCCAAAATTTTGGATCATCTGAATTCTGTGGCTTTATGAGTGCAGTTTTAATGGAGTTCCTGCAGAGGAGCGCCAACACTGGCGTTCTTTCTTGGTTAAACTAGGAGCTGATAATCTTAAGGGTGTAAAAAATGAAGAACTTCTGGTTGCTTGCCACAAGTGAGTACACTGTTTTTCCATGTATTTGTGATGTACGCATGTATGTATACCTTACCTGAGAGCATTCTGTGACTATTTGATTCTGAAGTTGAACTAGTGCAGGAGGATTGAATTCTGGTTGCTTACTTGAATCGTCATCAGTAAAATCTATGATGGACTTTGCATAGCTTGGCTTTTGTATTTTTATAGTGCAAAAAATTGAGTACAAATTGAATGATATTTGTTATTATAATATTTCAGATAGAGTCATCATTAATGAAAAAAATTGGAAACAAATTGTAGTAGTGGAAGCTAACCCACTGACATAAAAACTCATTACATGGATTTTAGTAGTTTCGATTACTAGAGCCATCAAAATTAGAATTGCAGTTGATAAAAGTTTTTCTAAAATTCCTGTTTTGCTTCACTAAGTCACCAACTATTGTTCATTCATATTCCTTTATTTTAGAAAATTATCTGTCTCATTTACTTGGATGATGCTGTTTTGTTTTTTGTTGTTTTGGTACATGATGACAGAATGTTTTACTTTTGCATTTTATCTCTATCAGGTCAGTTTATATTGTATACACAGTACTTGGAGATGTTAGCATATATATCGTGGGGAAGGAAGAGTACGACGAACTGGCTTGTATGTACTCATTGAATCAATATTCCATTTTCGATTATGATAAAATAAATGTAAAGAATCGAGTCATCTCACTTGTTAATGCTTTAATATGGAATTGCACCAAGATTTTATGATTTTTGTAAACTAATATCATAGAAATGAGCCATCTCTTGTTGATGTTGGAAAGTGATTATGCTCACTTGTTCTGAGATTGTAATGCTGGCTAAGGGGTGTTGGTTAATAATTTTTGTTCTTTTATTATTTTTTTATTATTTTTGAGATGGGGAAGGTGATGTTAGTATGTGCATAAGAAATAAAAGACTATATATGAGAAAAAACGAGATATTAGAAGGGAGGGGATTATTAATAGGAATACTAATGGAGACAATGATAGAGTGATATATTTAATGAAAAAAGTTATTTTTTTATAGTGAAATCAACTATTTATAGTGTGTCTGGATCCGCGTTCAAAAACCACGTTAACGCAGAAATAAGAAATTTTTACTTTTTATTTTCACGTTTTTGACATGAATTAAGTGTGGCGGACGTGAAACCAAACACACCATTAGACAATGTCAAACATATTGTTATTTCACCTAGAGCTGTCAAGTGTTTTACATTAATAGTGGTATTCACCAATATTTTATTTTTCTCCAGTGACAGAAGTAATCTATGTGATAACCTCAGCTGTGAAGGGTGTATGTGGGAAGCCCCCAAGTGAACGCCTTTTCCTTGATAAGTATGGAAGAATTTGTTTGTGTTTGGATGAAATTGTATGGAAGGTAAGGATATATGCTGGACAAAGTCTACTAAAAACATTAGATCTAAATTTTTTTAAAATTTACTTAGTTTACTTGTTTTACTTGCCTTTTGGGATGCATTGATTAATGACATTCATGTGTTACATGTTACGAACCCTAAAAAAATGGAAAAAGGAAAAGTGCTTCTGTTATTGAATTTTGAATGACCTAACTAATTCTGTAACTGCTTTCTAGAAAGTTCACTCTTCATTGGTTCTACATCCTCTTTTCTATAAAGAGAATGAAACTTTTTATTGAAGGATCTATAAAAATGGGTCTAGACTTCTTAGGGGAATAATTTGTGCAACTTCTGTGCTTCTGCCAGTTCTGTGTTCCATTTTTGAAAGAATACTTTTTCCTGGATGCCGTGCTTGACATTTTCCATGTGCATTTTTTGAAGGGACATTTGGAAAATACAGAAAAAGATAGAATCAAAAGATTGGTTAGGTTGAAGCCTCCAACTGAGTTCTGAATGACAGGTTCAAATTCAGTTATTATACAGTCATCAGTCTTTTTCCATTTCTTCACCATCTTATAACTGACAATGACAAGGCACTGAAGAGGATATCTAATGTTTGCAACAATTCTCGGTTTTGCAAAACTCTAGATATGATCTTTCTTCCAGAGGTGAGGATTTTGCTGGCCCAATATTTGCATGAACCTTCTTAATTTTAAACTCTTTTTTGCACCATTTATGTTATTGATTTTATTCTATCTTGTGCCATTGTGGTTTTTTTGTTCTTTCATGGTTGCTCTAATAAACAATTTTTGTTGCATGAGCCTTATTTTTTGTTGTTGATATTCCTATGATGATACTCATCTCTAGATAATGTGTGCTTACTAATAGATGTTTTTCTGAAACTTTAAAACGAGAATTTTGATGATCTCAAAGAGGGGGCTTCTTGGGTTCAATTCCGCTTGAGACAGAAGCTGTTGCACAAAAACGTAAACACAAATTTGTCCCTGAAAAATTATCGGCAAATGTATACGTCTTTAAAACTATAAAAATATCACTTTAATTCCTAAAAAATGTTCAAAATTTGAGGATTAATATGACCAATATGTGATTTTTAAAATTAACGTGCTTTATGTTAAATTTATTTGAGATGAATTTTAGTTTTGCTAAAAAAAAGTATAAATGATAAACATTAGTACATTAGAAACTACACTAAATTTATAGTGCTCTTCCAAAGTCCAATTACTCCTAGAAATATACTACTACTATTCTTATAGGTTCCAAGATCTTGTAGTGCATCTTTGTTGGCGGGAATCAAGTTTCTTCGTTACCTATGTCAAATTGTTGTTTTCCATGCATGCGAGAGATGGAACGAAAGGAAAAGAGACAGAGACAAACTTAATTCAAAGCTAGCAAAGGATTAATAGTATTTACTTTGTTTTTGTGTGTCATATCAATAAAATGAAACTATATCACGCGTGTTTTGCTTTGGTAGCCCAAGATTTTTCGTTGTGCGATTGAATATATTTGTGTTTTGATAACACTTCATGATGACATTGGACTAATGTTGATGGCAAAATAGTTGATTTCATATACACAATCAAGATATAATGCATTCTTATTGACTTTGCTCATAATATTGACTAGCATGATGAACAAAGGAAAAAGGTTTTTCACATCTCAATGATTTTCCCTCCTTTCCTTTTCACAGGCAGATAAGAAGCCACTTGGTTTAGCTTGAAGGGTCATTGCTCTTTCACACAAACTAGTAATGCGAAAAGAACTAAAAAGTTGTGATTATAATTGGGAAAAAATAAGAGTGATAAGTCACAAAATATTGTCATTATTCTTTCTTTCACTACACCAAAATTATTTTTTTTGACAATTAAATTATTATTTAGCGGCCATATAAATGATTATTATTTTTTTACCAGCATTTAAATAATGACTAGTGTATGCAGGGTCGCTAATACTATTATCGGCATTTATATAAAATGCTCATAAACACCTACTAAATTGTCAGAAAAACTTATTTTTTTAGTGACAATTATAGTAGTAATTTTAAAGACTATTATTAAAGGTTATTAAAAATTATTTTTTTCAATTGTCTCTTTTTCATCCATTTAGTGACTTTTATCTTTTGCTAGTAAAACTTTAAATAATTTATTCCTATAATTTTCTTTTCTAAATTCATAACTTATACTTTTTTTATCTTTAGTCGATGTGAGATTTATAAGATGAGGGTTGTCTTCTATTTATATATTTTTAATTGTCTTATCTCACATCTCTTAAGAGACTAATTCAACCCTATAAAATCAACTTATAAGGTGATAGTTATTACTCACTTATATATTATTTAATTATCTTATCTCTAATCAATGTGAGACTTAAATTTTTTCTAATAAATTATCGCTAATAATAAACTTTAGTGTAATATAAATACATTTTTAGTGGTTATTATATATTAAACATTAATATTTTTATTATATAATTAAATAACGATAATTAAATTATTATCATTAAATAATTGTTGTTAATAACAAATTTTATCATAGTGTTTCTTTCTTTCAAATGCAACGAAGGCAACATCATCATCAAAATCAACCGTAGCGTTGATGGAATGCAATGAAATTAATTTAAATGAGCAAAAAATAAAATAAAATAAAATTAAGACATTGAAATGTAATTTGAAAGTTTTTAAATAGAGAATAAATATTAATATTTAAATAGGAAAATAAACAAAAGAAACAAATTAGATTATAAGAAAAATATGTTTTGCAAAATGGGACATATATAATTTTAATCCCTAAATATTTTGTCATTTTTGAATATATATCAAATATGAGACCAAAAGGAGCACATTTTTTTATTTATTTATAGGAATTACATATGACACATTTTCATATACTAGAGATAAAAAAATTAGTCAATAAGTGACGTTTAAAACCATAACTAACCGTTACATATTTTATTTAAAAAAGAAAAACAATTAAACATTTAAAATGATGAATGATAAAAATACTAAAATATTCAAAATTATATAGAAATGATACTTAATATAAGCAAAATATTCAATTGAGACAATATTTTCTTCTTCTTTACATTAAAGAAAAAAAACAATGATCGAATGATCCGAAACTTCAAATAATAAATTCCAAAAGAAAAGAAATAGAATTAGCATTGTAGCGTTGAATGGTTATAATAATAGAAACAAGAAATTAAGGAAAGAAAAAGAAAATGTTATAAATTTGTCATCATCTACCAAGTTTAGAAAAGTTCTATGATTTGCATTTCAATTTTCTTTTAGGATGTGTTTCGGTGAGAAATTTTACAAATTTTAGGAATTTTAAATTTTTGATATTTAAATTATTTTGTTTTCAATTTCTATCATTCTTAAAATATTTTGTTTGGATAAGTTAATTCAAATTTTTCAAATTTTAAATTGTTAAGTTGAATATGATAATTTGATTCCACTATGGTAAAATTGATTTTAAAAATATATTTATATGTTAAAATTTTAAATTAAATTTTATAAAAATAAATATTAGCTAACTTTAATAATTAATAATTTTAAAAAATGAATATTCAATAATTAAAAACATGAAGAGATAAAATAAAATATATAAGTGAAATAAGAAAAAAAAAAAGAAAAATTTCAAATTCTTATTTTTTTTGGAAGAATTTGAAATTCTACTATTTCAAAATTTTTTACAAATACTTGAATTTCAAATTCTTTATAAATTCTTTATCCAAATAAGATATTTCTTCTAAATAAAATTCTTTAAATAAATAAATTACTCTATTTAAATTTTTCATTCACACATACTACTAAGATCTTTGAATCACATGTTGGGTTGTCTTTCATATAAGACATCTTGATAAGCTTATTGACTTAATATAAAATTGAGAGTAGTTTCCTAGAAGTGAATTAGTATTGAGTTTCATAACATTTTTCTATAAACAAAAGAAACATATTAATATGACTAACATAATTTGATAAAGAAAATGTATTTAACAATATAATTATAACTATCGTAAAACTAATTAATATACTGCAACATAAAAACGCCGTCAAAATGGTGTTTGTGTTGCTACCTGAAGCCTCCAAATTAGGATTTTATTTTACTATATACTTTATATGAAGAAATTCACATAAACTCAATGGAATTGATGTAGTTGGAATAGAAAATTTACTTTTCATTTATTTGTTATATCATTTTAAATTGCGATTGTCATTTTAAATTACAAGTATTATAGTGTTTATGAATATGACTGTATTGTAAATCATAAGTGTTATGATGTGAAATTATATTATATTTACACTAAATATATAATTATTGACATATCTTTAGTTTATTGATAAATAACTAAATAGTAACGACCTACATATATTTATATTTAAAAAATTACAGTGTCACAAAAATAAATAAATAAAATCTAATAATTTATTACATTATAAATATTAAACTAACTTATATTTAAAAGAACTTAAGTATTCATATACATTTATATTAATAAACTTATTAAATATTTATATTAATATTTTATCAAGACCGATAGCAGTGACTAATCTCTTGGAGGCACATCAAAAGGTGGGATAGCTGGCCCCAAGATTTAACGCGGTTGCATACACAAGGCAGGATTCGAACCCCTGACCTTACTTAAGTGTGGATCAACCCCTACAGCTAAACCACATGCTTGTGGTTATAATTTTTTATATTTTAAAAATTAATAATAATTAATTCCTCTAATTTATAATTTTTATCTAGCATATTCCTATTTAATCTATTTAATTATAATTAATTTCTTCTAATTTTTAATTTTTTTCTAGAGATTTCTGTTAAAATATATTTTCCTTTAAAAATTTAATCTCTCATTCGAGTGATTTTTTTTTCATGGATGAATTCCCTCCCATCAAAAGCTTTCAGTCACCTTAATTCCCTCCCTCCTATTTAAAATTTTTAGCAAATTGGTTCTCATTTAATTTTTGATTGACTTATAAAATATTTAAAATTAAAAAAAGAACACTCTCTTTTTTTTTTTTTATCTCTCCATTCTTAAGCTCCACATATTCATCCCTGACCCTTTCCACCCATTCACAGGAATGTCATAAATATTTATGCACTCAAAAGTTGGAAAATAAATTGCCAAGGATCGAAAGAGTAAATACGGCTTTCGTGAATGATCGAAGTTTGAAATTTCAAAAAGTTTTTTTTTTCTCTACTTTTTATTTTATTTATATTTTATCAAAAACAGAACTGAACACTTTGTCCAATAAATTTGTGTTAGTTGTTGTTGAGATGAAGATATTTGATTAACTAAATTATAAGTTTATATATTTATATAAAATATTATATAATTAGGATTTTTTAAATTTTTTCTATAGTCGGTAAACTCCCTTTTTCAGTACCTGATTTGTAGGGGTAAAATATTATAAGAATAAGGTATTTTGTTATATCGAAAGTATGAATAAAAATCATTAAATTTATTTTATCTTTTAATTTGGTATCAAATCTTAGACTTTTTTTTTAAACCCTTGAAGATCTTTGGTCACAACTAATGGAAATGCATATTGTAGAGAGGGAAAAAATGTCCTACATATGTGGGAAGATGTAGTCTCCAATAGAAAAAGACGATAGATATGAAAATGATATGTTGAAAACCAAAAGGTGAAGAGATGGTTGTTGATGTCCATGAAGTCATAAATCATGAAAAGGTATATTCAATTATCCATTGTCCTTGATATTTGGAATTCTTTGTGAAAGGCGTTCTATGATGGAAGTGATGAGCTACAAGTGTTTGCCCTGAATCAAAGGTTATTCACTATAAAACGAAATAATAGAACGTTATCTAAATATTATGGGGAGCTGATTGAAGTTTTTAGGGAATTGGACCATCGTGACTAATCATGAAGGGCCTGATGATGTGAAATAATCTCAAAAGTCAATTGAGAGATTGAGGGTAAATATATTCCTTGTTGAATTGGATGATGATTTTGAGCAGGTTCATGGGGAAATCTTATTCAAGGAAGTAGCATTTGATTTAAAAGAATATTATATCTTGATTCGGCTAGAGACTAGTGTTTTAAAAACCGAACCGATCATTAAACCGATGATAGTACTAGGTCAGTGAGTCAGATGTCAAATCGGTGGGTCACCTATTAAATCACATGACTCAATTTCTATTAAAAAACTTTAAAAAACTTTATATCATACATATTTCATACTTATAAATTTCAAAAAAAAAATTCACATTATACCTTAAAGAAACCCCAACAAAATTACAAACATTTTAACATAATTTCATAATATTATTCATGAGTTTTAAGCAGATAAAACAAGTTCTAAATATGAGTTTCAAACAAATAAACAAACTCACATAAGTTCCAATCTAACTTGTGAGTTCAAACTTAATTATAACAAGTCAGATTGGAACAAAATTTAAACATAATTGAACTATAAGATTTAAACAAGTCTATATAAAATATTTATGTCCAAGGAGAAAGTTGTGGCAGCCGCTCCTTCTTCATCAAAAACCTCAAAACCTTCTCCAATAACTTCCTCACCATTGCTTTCATTTAAATTCATGTTTTCTATAGTATCATCTTGTGTTTGTGCATCATCATCATCATCCTCATCCTTATCCAAATTTAATTTATCTATGAAAACAATTTAGATATAAGTTAGTAATTACAAATTCAAATTTAGTGATAACAAATACAAAATAATGAAATAACAATGTAAAAAAAATACCAATATCACTTGAAATTGGTTGGATGGTATATTTGCAAGGTCATTACGTAATGCATCCACCTCCTCATTGGTTAAAAATGGTGGGGAATCCTCCATTACCCAATTAGAATGGTCATCAAGTGTTTCAAGATTGATAGGATCAT